TGATTACTTGTAATTTCATGCATAAGAGCTTTTCTTTCTCTCTAATTTGATGTATATAATGTATATCTATAAATCATAGCTAATTTTTAAATGACATTCTGAATTTGATGAGATTTAGTCGTTTTTACGCCCCTTTAGCAGAAATGTGAAAATGGCTTTTGTGCCATTTTTGGGTATATTTTGATCACTTTGAATTGTCAGATGTCTATGAAAAGAATTCAGCTTAGTACGTTTGTTTTTTGTACGTGTTTTACGGCGCTCACAACTGTATAAGGTCATATGAGCGCGCGGAACACATTAAACATTTTCAGTTGGTAGGAAATTTTGGATGTTTCCTGGGTCGCGGCCGAAGCCTACTCTAATCGATTTTGGACCGTCAAGGGATTTTATTTAAAGTGCGCAACTTGCACACGGGACCTCTGAGATTTTTCGCCCTTGTCCGAGAAGGCTAGGTGTAGATTTTTCTTACCAGAAGATCAGAGGTGTGGCTGAAAGACAGCAGTAAGAAGGAGCCAAGGAGTAGCAGTAGAAAGGCTGCAGAAAGAGTCAGTGGCCCAGAGGAGGGGGCAAAGAAGGTGAGGGGGTGGGGGTAGAGGGTGAAAACAAAAGCAGACGACAGGACATTGCCAGAGAACAGGAAAGGAGGTGAAAGGATACAATTTAGAGAAAAAAAATGTCCGCCGCTATCCGGGCAAAGATACTCTAGGCTGTACTATTTTTTATCTGGGCTCGAACCCGGGACCTATTGAATGAGAGGTGAACACTTTAACTTTTTGGCCACGAGAGTCCCCAGGTTAGTATGTGCACCAGTGACTCTTGACTGGAGAAATTTAGTTTGTGTAGCAAAGAAGCAAGTTTATGTGTGAGCTGTCTCTGAAAATCGTTTGTTCTTGTTATATTTCGCGATATGCACAAAAATAATATAGAATACAAGAATGATGTCCTGAAATATCACTCTATTGCAATAAATTTGGTATCAAAATGCTCATAATGAAAAGTATGTGGATTGATTTTTCACTTAAATCAAATAAGAAAATTAAGCGTTGTATACCATATAAGTCAAACCTGCTCTAACGACCAATCGCTCAAACTATATAAAACAACCCCTTCCCACTTCACCTCTTTAAAAAAATTGATACATGTATAATGACACTGTCTAAGAGGGCCGCGCTACCTTCATCAATGACCACTTTTCTTTTCGACAACGAGTAGTCGCTTTGGACAAGTTCGACCGTAATTAATTTTGAATGTGGAATAATGCACATTACATAACAACTCTGTCATAACTGTTGCGTAACGTATCGAGATTTAGACAGTACCTTTCTTTTACTCACTAGTCACTTTTCGGTTAGTTATAGTGTACTAGAGGACAAAATTAAAACAAAGAGCCCTTTCAAGCGTGCGTTTCTTCACCCTCTCTAAATCTGTTTGTACCCAACAAACCACAAACCGAACAATATTACATTGTAGCCTACTCCCCATCTCACTTGTACCCCTTCAGATGCCATCGACTCCTTGTTCGCTTTTGTTCCCTTCCTCACTACTTGTTCTATCCCTTCTCATGAAAAATACAGGTACATGTACATAGTTTTTGCTTCCCACCTCGCTTCAGATGGGCGCGCTACTAGTAATTATGTGTTATGGAATATTTACTATTTATTCACCATCCCACTTGTTATATTTCTTAAATTGTTATAGTTTTAGATCTTATTACTGTTCATCATCCCATACTTTTAACTCGCCTTAGAAGATAATACGTAACCATATTGCAACCTCAGAATGACATTTCTATCTGATAGTTTTGGCCGTTTTGAGTTACTTAGGCCATGAGGTCAGAAAACAAAATATGCTCAGTCTGCTCTTTCAAAATTGTTAGAAAATTTGGAGTCGTTATCAAGATATTCAAAGCATTTCATTCGGAAAAAGCTTGACATATTGCGAAACTAAAAAATGTTTACGTCAAAATTCTCAAAAACTAGGTATTGAGCAGATAGAACTTTGTAATTATGAAGTAGCGATATGCGTAAAAAACAACAACTCCGGCCCTCTAGTTTTATCCCATTAGGTTCCCATACAAAAAATAACTGGCCTAGTGAGTAAGTAACCGAAACACTGCCCTGTAGCTATTAATTACAAAACACCCACCCACACACCGCAAATGTAAACGCAACGAGTCGCGTTTGATGAGCTATCCTCCCACACTACTTTTTGATCTAAGCACATCCAATGCGTGGCCGTCGACAATGTCCCATCCTGTCATCTGCTGTCCTTACTAGACCTTACAGCCGCCTTTCCTCCATTTGACACAGCGCAGGTAGTGGTCCATCAGGCTGGACTTATCGTTGTGTGGGTTATCGCTGTAGACAGATGATGATGATGATAATGATGATGATGATGATGATGATGATGATGATGATGATGATGATGATGATACTACTACTACTACTACTACTACTACTACTACTACTACTACTACTACTACTACTACTACTAAAAAGAAGAAAAAAGAAGAAGAAGAAGAAGAAGAAGAAGAAGAAGAAGAAGAAGAAGAAGAAGAAGAAGAAGAAGAAAGAAGAAGAAGAAGAAGAAGAAGAAGAAGAAGAAGAAGAAGAAGAAGAAGAAGAAGAAGAAGAAGAAGAAGAAGAAGAAGAAGAAGAAGAAGAAGAAGAAGAAGAAGAAGAAGAAGAAGAAGAAGAAGAAGAAGAAGAAGAAGAAGAAGAAGAAGAAGAAGAAGAAGAAGAAGAAGAAGAAGAAGAAGAAGAAGAAGAAGAAGAAGAAGAAGAAGAAGAAGAAGAAGAAGAAGAAGAAGAAGAAGAAGAAGAAGAAGAAGAAGAAGAAGAAGAAGAAGAAGAAGAAGAAGAAGAAGAAGAAGCAGAAGAAGAAGAAGAAGAAGAAGAAGAAGAAGAAGAAGAAGAAGAAGAAGAAGAAGAAGAAGAAGAAGAAGAAGTGTAGTCTAAACCATTTAAATTTGCTGTCATGCATGCGTTTTTATCTTGTGTCTTTTCATTAACTGTAAGTCTATAGGGCCTACCCAAGGAGATTAAAAGTGTAATGACTGGAACAATCATAATTATTCCTTTTCTCTGCACCTCACAACATGGCTGCAGAACGTGTCCTTGGCGTGCCCAAACAGAGATTAATTAAAGTTAGAACCATTTAAATTGTGTTACACATCCAGATCTATTCGGTAATAATAATAATAATAATAATAATAATAATAATAATAATAATAATAATAATAATAATAATAATAATAATAATAATAATAATAATAATAATAATAATAATAATAATATAACAATAACAATAACAACAACAACAACAACAATAATAATAATAATAATAATAATAATAATAATAATAATAATAATAATAATAATAATAATAATAATAATAATAATGCAGTGAAGAGTGAGTTATTAGATTGTTACAATGGTAAGCATTCTCCTCCTGTCATACTAGAGACCAGGCTCGACTCTCCACCGGGAAAGGGTATTGTTTTTATTTTTGATATATATAGAGAGAGAAGAAAGAAGATACATAGGCTACACACACGCACATAGGTTATGGTCGAGGCTGCTTTAGTTCCGGTATCCTCGGTTATGATGGATCTGAACGATGAACAGATAGATCTAGAAAGGGAAATTATTGCATAAGTTTTATTCAATGCAATTTTATAATTTCAATGTTATACATGTATATTTAGTTTAAAAAAAAAAAGAAAGTGAAAGTCTGCTACACCTCTTGTACGGACACTGCACAGGCTTCCTGCAGAGAAAAGTATTACATGTGTACAAGTAGGCCACTCTATGTAACAAATACTTCATTGATAATATTTCAATGTGCCATTTATCAAATCTGCCGAAACTACATTTCAACTTGCAGTTTTAGACTATCGGCTGAGAAAAGAAATTTCTTTTACCCTCTATGAAACTTTTTTTTTAAAATGGATGGAAAGTCATTTAAATATCGTGGTCCAAAGTTCCGATGAGAATGCTTTGATTTGAGAGATCAAATAGCCTTTTATTAATTTAAATGTTAGCTAAAATTTACATCATTGAGATATATAATTGGAAAGAGTTTTGTTATTGTTGTTGTTTTTGCTTTGGTCAGATCACATAGGCCTACAGCTGTTCATATATATTATGTTACTGTTGTATTTAGGCCTAAAGCGCTCGCAGAGCCTGTTTCCTATAATCGGGGTTGAGAGCCACATTAAATGTTATATTATTATAATTATTATCATCCATTTTTATTATCACTACTATTTTTTATTATAAGTTATTACTTTCATATATTAATTATTATTATTATTAAATTATTATTATTATTATTATTATTATCATCATCAATAAAAATAATAATAATGATAATAATAAAATTATTATTATTAATGATAATAATGATTATTATTATTATTAGCCTATACAATAAAGAAGAAAATATTTTCGAAAATAATATCTGCAATCTCTTGAGTGATAATTAGACATTATGTTCAGTTTGAAGTACTGGGATTTTGCTAGGCCAAGTAATAGTAGTGGTAGTATAATAATAATAATAATAATAATAATAATAATAATAATAATAATAATAATAATAATAATAATAATAATAATAATAATAATAATAATAATAACAATAATAATAATAATAATAATAATAATAATAATAATAATAATAATAATTAGAAAAAGAAGTAAAAGAAATAAGTCAACTGAGTGCATTGCTGAAAATATTATGAGTTGGTTCAAAACTATGTAAAGAATAAAGGAACAAAAGACTATGTAAAGAATAAAGGAACAAAAGAGAAAATGATACACACAGTTTTCCCATGATAACGCCTGTGGTATCATAAACTTCAGCTTAAAATAGAAATCTCTTACAAATAATTTTATTAAATAAATTTTATTTTATTTTCTTTAAAAATGATATAATAAATGTTTTGATAGTCACAAATTGTTTTCTTTCTCTTCTCATTAGTGAGATTATATTTTATAGATTTCAAAATGGCCGCTTCCATGACTTCTTTGCTTAAGAGAAATGATAAATTTTAATAGACAATTCGTATGACAAAAGTGTGATATAACTTCACAGACGAGCAGAAGCGACTTCTGCTGACATCAGTTTGTTTTTAAAGTACTCAAACTTGCTTTCTGTGGCTTGTTTTGTCTTCACACACAATAACCCTACATTGCCTTTGAGTTGACTTTGACTTCGCTTTGCTTTTCCTCAACTTTCACTTTCACTTTACTTTGTACTTAATCTAGATCTAGAAATCTAGAATCTAGATCTAGATCTAGATCTAGTATTCTAGGTCTAGATCTAGATCAAGGAGTTTAGAACTAATGGAGCCTCCTCTCTCTCTTCGCGGCGCCACGAGTAGTACGCCGCGGTGGGGATCAAATATGCCGCCGAGTGTGGGCTCAATCTCGAACTGTGGCGTTTCTTTTTATAGAATCTTATCGGGCTGGGCCACGTTGTGGGGGTGGGCAGGGTGGGGGAATGCACGCAAGGAAGAGGGGATGGAGCAGGGATGAAAGAGGAGGGGCGGGCCTTGGGAATTGACGAAGGAGAATGGGAAAAATTAAATAAAAGAGAGAGAGTGAGAGAGAGAGACAGATGGACAGACAAAGAGAGAGAGAGAGAGATTGTGTTCAACTGACGGATAATGATAGGGAGACAAAAAATAATAAATTCTGTGTGTGATACGGACTATTCAATTCTTTCAGAGTTTTATGTTATAATCAATAGACAAGTTTAAAAATCAGAAAGATGTGTAAAATAAGAAAACTTGTCCAAGTAACATAAAATTATCAAACATACCAAATTATAAAGATAATCTTTCAAGATGCCAAAATGTTTAATTATTAGAAATGGATAAAAATATACTTTAAAACTGAATTTAAGATATATGATTGCATGATTCTAGGCGTGTGCCATAACTAACTTTATGTGTAAGGAATAGCGAACACAACAGAGGGTCGATGCCAGCTTTATCAGATTGCTAACAGTATGTCTTGGTCTATAAATAAATTTAATAATATTATTGATTACAATAATTTTGTTTCCTGGTTTTCACAAAGTAGAGCGCACAATGATTTCAAATATTTAAAAAAAAGAGATAACAGCACCTTTGGAGGTGTGATCGTATGCATAAGCGTGGATGACCTTTGAAGGTTTCCTTTTTTTTTTTTTTTGTTCAGTAAAGTATGATATGGAGAGCAGCGTTTTTAGTCCATTATTACACTCTGGGGGGGGGGGGGGGGGGGATAATTTATCTCAGTGATGACTCTTGTGTATTAAAATTTGTTGTTGCTTTGTTTGGTTTATTTTTTAACAGCAGAATCTTAAATGAATCGGAATTATTGATTGTGGGGTCTTAGGTGAAGACTACAACAATAGAATTAAACCGAGTATAGTTCTATCTAACAAGAGTCAAACTCTTATCCACCCCACCCTACCCTCTCCCGTCATCTGATATGGTTTGGTGTTTCTTTAACATAGAAAATATTCATCATTATTGTTGTTGAGTATTGATTTCATATTCTAATGGAGCCTCCAGATATCTACATTTAGACAACAGTAGCATCTAATTTGCACACACAATGGAAAACGATATAAATGTATATGTATTTATACATACACACACATAATAATTATATATATATAGACATAATAATTATATATATATATAAAAGAATAAGAATACTTTTTAAAAATTGAGTATCTCGGTCTTTCTGCTTGGGTGTTGTATCCCTTTCAGCCTGGGTTGGCCTTGGCAGGTAGCGCCAGAGCCAGCCTCTTATGAATGTTCATGATCTAAATTGTGTTGCTGGGGGCATAAAAACACTTTCATTCAAATTTTTTAAAAGGAAAACAACTTAACTGTGAAAACTTCGGTCCACTGCAGCATCATATCAGTTCTTACACTTATATACAACACATATGCAAGGCATTTTTACTAATTGACTTGCCTAATCTCAAGGACCTCGGAATAAAACCTTCTTTCTTATCTAGATTTCAGTGCGTGTGTCGGGGATTCGTGCAGCGCAGGTAGCCCACAGTTCCGCCGCGAGAGAGGGCTCCTATCAGGCGTGCGGTGCCGCCAACAGAGCATCCTCCATTACTTTTAATCTCCTTGATCTAGATCTAGAATCTAGATCTAGATTATTTTTATTTTTTTAGTCAATTTTACTTGGTCTACGTCCTCGGCTCTCACTCAAATCTTTTTTAACACCAGCCCAGCACCCCTACAGCACCCCTTTCCTTTCTTTCTGTAAGTAATGGGTATTGGTGCTATGGGCAGTGCTGTTCGATGGAATTTGCCTGAAATTGTTGTATATCTAGAGCTAGAGCTAGATTAGATTCTAGATCTAGTTGTAAAGTTCACAAATAATTTAATTAATTGTGAGAGCTGAGGCGAGGCATCTGCCATCAGGTTGAAATCAGGTGTTCGTCAAAATAATAAAATTGATGAAACTGGTAATTCTCTGCCCGTAGGACCATTTTCATATAATTTTTTTGTTTTGGGTTCAGCGTCTTGTAATTTCCGTTTAAAGACACTTTCCTGAGTGTATAAATTGATATTTTACTGAAAAACGTTGATCAAAGATTATAACCTGGATTCTACAAAAAATATAAATTTCTGTTTCCAAAAATAATCAGCGTCAGCTTTTGAAGTCACAAAACTCGGGTGGCCATTTTCTAGTTAATTTTACCTCTGACACAAGGTGATCCCCTCTTCTTCGGTCTCAGTTATCTCGACTACTATGCAAGATAGGGATTTTCTCTATTAAAAAGCAAGGCAAATGAATAGGCTTTTTTATAAACTGATACCAATTACGCTTTAAAAATCGATAAGTGCCTGATTCCACTGCATCATGACCCAATTATTTTTTAATTGTCTGCAGTACAGTACAGACACACACATATATTTATTATATAATATATATATATATATATATATATATATATATATATATATATATATATATATATATATATGTATAAATATTTATACAAACCGACTTCAACAGTCGGAGGGAAACTGTCCAATCAGCAGCCTTATTTTATGCAGTCATGACGTCACAGTGAGTTTAGTGGCAAGCATTATTGGGTTTTTATTAGGCCCACAACACTTTAACCCTTTGAGCCCTGATCTCCTGAGGCAACCAAGCTCCTCTGCCTGAGCTCCTGATTGATATATTACTAACATTCATAATATGATGGCCAGAATCACATTCCATATCCCACTCAGGGTAGTCCTTGTCAATACCAGCATTTGATTTAGAAAGATCTTCAAAATAGTCAATAATGTCTTGTGCAACAAACACTGTTTTCTGTACGTTTTTTGTCTCAGGTGGGCTTGGTTGGGGATGGGGTCTTGCTCACTTGAGGCCGGTGGCTAGGCATACGAATTAAGCCCTTGAATTGAAGATGCAAGGGAGATTTTGTTGTTGTTAATGCAGGGCTTTGAATGATTATATTATTGGTACCATACATTATATCTCCAGCACTGTTTGTCATACTGAATAAAGCAATTAAACCCATCTTGTTATCCCTAAAAGTATTCCCTAGAAACTTCAAAATATGCCGTGAATGTTGAATTCTCCATCTTTTTTTTTTCTATTCAGCTTTTACATCAAGACTCAGGAATGCATGGGATCATGTGTGCTTCAGTTTCTGTGATGAGAGTCCCATATTCATGTGTATTCAAGAGCGGCAAATTACAAGCTTATCTACGACATGCAGTGTACCAAGCTGATTCTCAACATACGCTGATATCTCAGCTTGCCTCTTGTCTGGCCATGACCACAAGGAGATTTTCTGTAAGTTAAGCCTACGATATACAAAGTCTTATTGTTCATGATGCTAATACTGTGTAGCCCTGTCCTGCTCTGGTTTTGATGTGCCAAAATCTTTGTCACTGTTGTTATTGTTTTTTTTCACTATAACTCAGATCCATTCAGAACAAACTGAAGCCCCTGTGATAATTATTTACTTACTGTAAATTGTGTGGATGTTAGGTATAAACTAAACTAAGGTTTGCAACTACTAACATAGAGACATTTACTCTTTATTTTCATTCTCTTGGCTCCTATTGGTTCTGATTTTTTAATGAAAGTCTCTTCTTCTGAATTTCTTTGTATTTTACTGGTAATGCCCACTTTTCTACTTGTGTTTCTTTTTAAGATCAACAAAATTCAATTTTCATTTGGTTTGTATTGTTAGATTATAGAAACAAATAAGCTTTGGATGAAAAATGTTGGTTGTTCGATAAAGAAAGTTTATTAAGGCGATGTATTAAAAGTGGATAGGCCTTAATTTCTCTCATGACTGTTCAGCAGTATGGTATGTTTTATATTAGGCTTATATTTCGCAGATACACTTGAAGCCACATCAACCACAAGACAGAAAGTCTCTTTTGAAGCTGAGATGTTCTCCTCGTTCAGTGCGGCATACGGCAATACAGTCAAAAAATGGCAGTGATGGTCTGAGTCCAGCTGCATGGACAGAACCGTTCAAACTACCAGAGCCGCAACTGGATTGGTCTTATCTCTTAGACAAAAAGAACACTGAGACAATTGCTGCAAATATTTACAACAGAAAGGGAATTGGAGACATTCACAAATTGATCACCTTGTCAGAGCTGTATGCACAAGAACAAAATGTGAGTGTTGATTTTTATTTAAACCTTTTTCTCATTAATTCTTTACTTTGTATTTGTAAATTTTCCGTTTCCACAGAGCTCTTCGAATATAGATCTATATATTGTGAATATTTATAATGGTAATGAATTTGATCTGCTATTGTTTTATAATGCTGACAACAAAAGAATGAAATAGAGGATCAATTGGGAAAGAGGTGCATAGTGGGGATAAATCTGTTCGAATCTTCGTAGTGCTGTACAGTGTACATGTATTAATTTGACAAATATTGTTTCATATTCAAATATTGTTATATGCCTTAGTGAAAAACTGGATGAACAAAAAACAAATTGATGTTAAATGATACTAAAACAGAAGTCATTCTGGCAGGCAATGCAAAGTCTGTTAAAAAGATTGACCACGATCACATGACAATTGGTGATGCGAAAATTGCATTATCAAGAAAAGTTAAGAATCTTGACATCTGTTTTGATTCCAGTTTGTCAATGTCAGCTGAGGTAAATTATCTGATCAGCTGCATATTTTTAGAAATAAGAAAAATTAGTAAAATACGTCATCTGATCAATATTAAGTATACTGCTTTACTAGTTACTAGCTTATTTTTATCAAAACTCGATTATAATAACTCCTTGTTATCAGGAATATCACTGGAGAAAGTTAAAAAACTTCAAACTGTCCAAAACAATGCTGCACGTTTAGTTTTACGGAAAAGAAAGTGTGACTCTGCTAAACCTCTTTTACGAATTTTGCATTGGCTTCCTGTTGAGAAAAGGATTGTGTACAAGTTGGTCACCCTATGTCACAAATGTTTGAATGATAATGCACCGTCATATTTATCAAATCTGTTAAGACTGTACATTCCAACTCGCAGTTTAAGGTCATCAGCTGACAAAAAGAAATGTATTTTACCATCTATGAAACTTAAAACAATAGGTGAAAGGGTATTTGAATACCAAGGCCCCAAGATCTGGAATGCTTTACCAAGGACTTTAAGAGAGATGAAATCTTTTGATTCATTCAAATGTCAGCTGAAATCATTTCTGTTTTTTAATTAATAAGATGGATATTTGGAATAATTTTATTTAGTCAGAAAACAACGATTTATGTTACTGTTGTCCGTTGTACTGTATTGTAAAGCGCTCAGAGCCTTTGTACTTTAATCGGGGTTGAGCGCTATATAAATGTCATTTATTATTATTATTATTATTATTATTATTATTATTATATCTGACTGGAGGAATTTGCTTTAAAATTTTTTAAAATATACTTTAAATGTTAAGCATTTCAGTGCCATGGCCTAATACATGACATGTGTTTCACTCTTGTAAAGCTATTCGGTGGGTTACTTATGGGAAACACCCCTCACAATTGCTTTAACGGGAGGAGTACCCTTGAGGACCATTTTCTATGTTTGTTGCCCGAGATCAAATCTAAGCACACATATAAATAAGACATAGTAAAATCTCTTGATATGCAATTTGATTTTGACATAGCTACAGCAGTTGCTATGGAAACGTCCGCCATCTTAAAAATAAACAATGAATTTCAAATCCCTAAGGCTTTCTTATTTACTGACCAAATTTGGTGAGGGTATACCTGAACCAGACCCTATCAGAATAACAGCAAGTTTTTTCAATAAGTGCAAAAGAAAGAAAAAAGAGAATTTTCCCAAAGTATAAAAAACTTTTTCTAAATTTTTGGTTGCGTAATCGCTTGCCAATGGAAAAGTGTGTGTTTTTTTTCAAATATCTCTCTGTTACATTGATGGCAGCCTTGCCAACTATGTTTCCTGAAAGTTTCAATGTCAAAAGAATGAAAACTAAGGAAGGAGTAGGGAAAAAACTGCAAGAAAATACATTTTGCAAAAAATGACAATAACTGAAAATTCACAATATTAATCCGTCCTCATGTTTTCAACGGCAATTTACCAGGAGAATAAAGACTTCTCAATTGTATCCATGCTATTTTTAGACAACAAAAAACTGGTTGATCTTCAAAAATCAGCCAAAATAACAATTTTATAGCCTGACCCAAAATCTGAAAAATCAAGGGTCGCTCCTCCCCATAACTTGCAACGAACACACTACACATTTCTCTTAGTTTTAGATGCTATTGCTTATGAATCTTGTGCATGGGAATTAAGTTGTATGCAATAGATAAAAGGTTTTCTTGTTTGATTCTATTTGCTAAATGTTCAAACCTTGAAAGTATGTCTCTGTGCATCTGTCCCTGTCTCTTTTTTCTTTTTTTTTTCGTCAAGAAAAACTTTTGATTCATTAAAATATTATTTTTCCATCGACATGTGCTATCAACCTGATTGGCAATACTCTGCATGTACTGTCTGGGTGAACAAGGCTGAGAAGAAGGAGGCTTTGAGACAAGAGATGACCTCTGAAGCTTTGGACATTCCCAACATCAGCCATCCCGAGACTGTAAGGTTTAAGACATTTAATTAAACAATTTTGTGCGTGTGTGTGTTTGTTCTAGGATGCCGAACATAAAGGAACTTTACCATCTATTTGCATCCAAAGACTTGAGCTACCTTTCTGTCCACCTGCACACATACGCACACTCACATCCACACCCGCACATATGTGCTCATGCGCGCTCACATGCACACACATACACACACACACACACACACACACACACACACACACACACACTATCACACAGTGTTGGTTTCATTTTGTAAATAATCGCTTTTGAAATTACCTTTTTCTTGTCGTACTTTGTTCTATCAGACTACACATCTATAAATAAGCTCTTGAACTTGAACATGTGTACTTGGCGTAAGGGCATGTTATCTTGCTAGACTGGAACTTCAGGCTTGGTGTCTTTGTATTTTACGCTATCATGATTGACACATGTATTCTCAAATGCTTTATTTACAGATTGTTGGCGACGAGTCATGTGCTAGGCAAGTTGAGGTTGTTGGTGACAAAAAAGGTTTGTTTTGTTTTGTTTTGCCTCTTAATATATTTATGAACATTATTTTGCTATTACAAGTGGAAAAAAGTTACCCTGATGACGTGCTAGTGTTTATTAATTTCAAGACTGTTTTTTCAGTTTATTATTGTTTCTTAGAGACTGATTGGGTGGTGGGTGCTTTGGTGAGGAATGAGGTCTTCTTCAGCTACTTCTTTTTCTATGTGGCAAACGTCTCTGGGAAAAATGTAACAGTATCATGCCAACTTGTCAAAAACCACAAGTTATCCCAATCAACTCAGCTTTATTCACTGTTTTGACATGATTGGGGTTCATTTTATTTCCTTTTTTTTAACATAGCCCTGGGCAAAATGGGATGAGCTCTAAGACTGCTTTATGTACATTTTACTTTCTTACAGTGCTTTGTGAATATTTATGCCTTTAAAGGTAGAGTTTTTGTCATTGGTACACAAGATTCAATGTTAATACCATTTATATACTCGCCTGCCGCACAATGTGGTGTACAATACTGAGAGTATACTTTGACTCCAAAATCTGCCCATTTTTGTAAGTTGCGCATATTAATGTTATAAAGTAAAGAGTATTTTGCTGACATTCTGGAGGGGGCTCAAAATGCTTGAAATTAAGTACTAGTTCGGCCCCAAATAGTGTTTTATCCAAGAACTGTTGGTTGTTGCATTGAGACTGATTGAATCCGTGAGACTGGCAGCACAATTATTATGGTTTTCTGCGTATGCAACAACTTTCAGCTTAAAGTGGGCCTCATACTCTTTCTTTTCAGACTGGCTTCTATGACTTGAAATGCCGGTAGGCTAGTAGAAAGAAAACCACCCACCAATGGTCCAGTGTTCAGAATATTTTATGGGAAAATCAGGAGTTGAACTCAGGACAAACTGCTCCATTATCAATAATCAATATTGTTCAATGGAAAATTCTATTCGACATTATTCTTTTGTGTTGAACCTTATCCTGGCTATATGTTGCGCATATAATGAGGGGGGTAGGGGATAATTTTGGACCTCATTTAAAAAAAATATATTTATAGTGAGTATATGGTATCCTTTTGAAAAGAGACATATGTTTCTTGTGGTGTTCATATTTGCTTTTGAAAACATTTTGAAAGGTGCTCTTAACTTTCTTTCTCTTTTTTAGTTTTAAAGTAAGGTCAATATGCTGAAGAGGATGTTGTCCCTCAATAACCATAATAATCACTGAAACATCAACAGAAACCTGTTTACTTCCCAGATTTTGACTTCAAACCTCGTCCAGTGAGTGAGCTTGGAGGCAAAGGACTCAAGATGCTGAGAGATAGGTTTGTTCAAAACTGAACTGATTCTTCTTCTCCATCTCGTTCAACTTTAAATGGACATTCCAGTCTCCAGTGCTAAAGCTGTTGTTCGCCACAGATCCTCCAGGCCCCCATAGTGTTTTCGGTCTCTCTGCCTTGGGTTGGGCCAATATTTTTTTATAAGTGCCTTGTACATTGTGCAGGCTTGCAGCAGATGTTTCCCTGTTTGGTTTCCAGTTCTGCTCTGAAAACTGAGCCGACTGATTGAGATGACTTACCCCCTACTGTACCACCATGTACAATTATTAATTAATTTGGTGATTTCAAAAAATTAATTGATTCTTTTATGCATATGTTTATCTATTGTTTACCTTCTTATTTATATGTTGTCTTGTGTATTTGTCAAACTGTTTATTGATATTGTCTAGTCTCATATATTATTTTGTTTCCAATTGCTTTTGAACTTGGTCAGAGATGGTCAGTACCAAAGTTCTATGCTTAATGAAGTCCAAGTTGAAGAGCTGGATTATAATCTTGTATTTCCCTCCAATCAAAGACTCTCGTATCTTCTCAGAATTTCATTTTGCCTGTTTGTTTCTTCGTCCAGGGGTGGATACACAGTGTTACAGCCTGTTGGACTGTTTTTGGTGTTTTCTATCACTGTTGATTTCCTAGTACTAAATGCTTTTATGAATGATAAATCCTAATGGTCCACTCATTTGCATCTATTCATTGCACACAAAACATGAGATCATTAGGTAATATGATGACACTTTCATATTTTAAGTTTTTAGCTTCTAAAAAACGATGTCGAGTATTGCAGAGGATACCATTAGGAAAGTAGAAGAGGAGATAAAAGCTGTTTAGAATATTAAAAAGGGTTTTGGCTATCTTCTTCAAGTGCCTGATATGGGGCAGGCATTGGCAGTCATAGTTCACCTCTCATTTTTTTCTGCTTTCATGTTCTGAAAAACCCAGTAGTATCCTGGTCTTTTCCCATCAACCGTCTGTTCAAGTTCTCAGAGTTCTGATGAACTTAAAAAAGGTAAATGTGGAAAGTGCCAGCTCTTTCTTAGTGCTGTTATTTTGTTCACCTTGTCTTTTTATATTTATCCTTTTTTTTTCCCAGAAGCAAAATACTACCCAATCACATTTGTTACAACAAAGGTTTCACCAATAAGGTTGGATCTCCCAATGATGAATTAAGTCATTACTTTTCTTACCCTCAGGAACTTAACTTTTTCCACGGGCACCAAGACATATTATCTTGAAGCAGATCTGGCCCAGCTGGAAAGGGCTCTGGTGAACTTTACCCTGGACTTCCTCCAGACCAAGGTCAGTGCAGCACAGCTCTATAATTTAAACTCCTTGTACTTGAAAGGTTTGCTATTTTAAAAAGATTTTGTGAACATGAATGTTATTGTTTTGTATTCGTAAGAGCGAACTCTTCAACTCAAAAGCCTATATGTTCGCATTACACGGCATAAAACTGAAGGTAAGCAAACACAAACTTTCACTTCATGAACAGGATTCTCGCGTCTGAATGTTCTGTGCTTTCAAATCGTGAGGTTGGAACTTGTTCAGCTTGAATTGGTTCTAAATGCTTATTGTAGATTTAAAGCCAAGACCTTTCTTTTTATAAAACGGTGCGTGTCGTCAAGTTGATAATTTGTACATTTTTAATGATGGTGTGGATGATTTAGGTTTGATGTTCAGGTAGAGATGATTCTGAACTTGGTATTTCAGGTTCGCTTCCAAACGTTATAGATGATAGAAAAAAATGATGTGGAAGTTTTGCTGTGTATGCCAGCTACATTGTGTTGAAGGGGTTTCGCATTTCAGTGTTTTCTTCAACAACATCTGTTATGTTCCTGTAGTTGGGCATAGTTGAGAAAAATGGCCATAATAACGTGCAATGCAGCCACCACTATCTCTTGAATAATGAATAAACTGTCAACATAAAACATTTTGTATTTTATTGTTAATGTATTTTTGTTTGTTCTTTGCTTGTTGTCACAGGGCTTTGAGTATGTCACTGTTCCTGACGTGCTTCACTCGGGTGTCATTGTAAGTACAAGTGTATTGTGAGGCTTATTTGTTTGAGTAAAAAGAAGCGCATCCTTACAGTAATGGTCATTTAGTGTTGGGAAAAAGTAAGACAGAAGGACAGAAACAACAAAGGGAAAGTAAAGATCTACGAGTAATGCCCTCCAATCGCCTGCAGTTTCATGAGGATGTCGCACAGTGTAGTGATATCATAGTGTCTTAAGAAAACATCCTAATATTTTTTAATTTATTTTTTAAATTATTTTTTTTTGGGGGGGGGGGGGGGGGACTACAAGGATATAAAAAGGAACTGTTACTATTTATTTCGTTTCACTATGCATAACCATGAGTGAAACCTTCCCATCTCCCCCTTAGGATAGCTGTGGTTTCAAGACAAGCCTGGCCAAGAGTCAAGTGTATCATCTCCACCCAGACTGCCTGAAGGGGGCGTGTCTGGCTGGCACTGCCGAGATGTCCTTGGCCGGTGAGAGAACAGTGCTTCTTCTGCCTGCAGTACAGTAGAACTCGGATTCAACGAAGTCGTCGGGCCTGGCTTCAATTTCGTTGAATGCGAGTGTTCATTATTGCAAATATGAGGGGTTTTTGTAGATAATTACAGGCACAAAGCAAGTAATGTATAATGTATTCAACATTCTCAATCCAAAGTTGTTTGGCTTTAAATGAGAGGCATTTTCGTTTCCAGGAATATACACTGAATTCTACCTAGCACACACTGTGCAAAAGGGCCGATTTGTTCCAATGCATGTCTGTGTCATCTTTCATCTTTTGCGAATTGTTTGCCAAACAAGTTATGTTGCTGTGTAGAGCCTAGTACTAGTAGCATACGGCAACGTTTGATTCCACAGTCCAACGAACATTTAATTATGTAGATTTTTGTCAACCTTATCTATCATTTTAATATTGATCAGTGGCTGGGGGGAAAAGATTAACTGTGTCTCGTTTGTATCTCTCTCTTGGGGTTCCCTGCCCCAACCGTTTGCTCCCCCTTCCCCCATCCCTTCTCCTCCCCCCTCACACACACACAGTCACACGTCACACGTGTGCTGGCCACCCGTCCGACCCTGGCATATGCTAAGACATGAGTGTGTGATAACAATGCGTGTGTTGGTATGGAAGGATGCTGCGGATTGGTCGCATACGTTATGATAGAGCAGTTCACACAGCAAGCAACTTTGTTGAATCCGAGCTTGCTCCTTTATGTGTTTGTTGAATCCGAGCTTGCTCCTTTATGTGTTCGTTGAATTCGAGCTTGCTCCTTTATGTGTTTGTTGAATCCGAGCTTGCTCTTTTATGTGTTAGTTGAATTCGAGCTTGCTCCTTTATGTGTTTGTTGAATCCGAGCTTGCTCCTTTATGTGTTTGTTGAATCCGAGCTTGCTCCTTTATGTGTTTGTTGAATCCGAGCTTGCTCCTTTATGTGTTCGGTGAATCCTAGTTGTTTTTATTGATTTTTTATGAATAAAAAAATCGGGGAATCCAACTCCTTTCATTGAATCCGAGTTTTCGTTGAATCCAAGTTCGTTGAAACTGAGTTCCACTGCACCACATGACTGTGTAATGGGCTGTAAGCTTGAAAGAGGAAAGAGGGGGTTCATCAGTTTTGAAGAGACTTCTTCTCATGCCAAAGTACACAGTTTGAGAGGCATATTATGGAGATAACTTTGTGTTTTTCATGTCAGCCTTTTCTTCCTCCCGATTCCTGTGTAAATGAGATTGAATTCCTTGTGTTCTCAGAAAAGGATGAAAAGCTTGGAGGTCTTCCATGCACCTTGTAATTTTAAAAATTAAAGAACAGTGTGTCAACTTTTGCTAATCAGTCTGTACCAGTCGGTATAAATGTACAAGGGTACTTTTTAAAAAAATCCAAGGGATATTGTGCTGTGGTAGAAAAATAGTTCTTTTAGCATAAAAATCAGTTGAACTGGGTGTTGAAGTATGTTCTTTCAACTGGGGTTGAGGTTTAGGGGTGGGGGGATGCAGGAGAAGAAAAAGTGTTATAACAGTGTACAACATGAGTGTACAATTATGTTCAAAGAAATCTTGTTGATGCCAGAAATTCACCATTTTTATAGTACATTATGTGGACTGTTCATGTTTATGATCAGAGTGCGCTTTTCTAAATCTGCAGCTGTCAGACTGTTTATGATTATTTAATAAATTCGCATTTAATGAAGTGCTGACTGTTTTCCCTTTTAATCAAATTTGTCTTCGTAAAATGCAATATGTGGTTGGTTTTTGTTTGTGTAATGAAATCAACTGATGTTATCATAACAATGTTGACTGTTGTAGTTTCTAATGCATAATGCAACAATTAATTCCTGATTCAACTCTCATCACCCAGAATATAATGAATACTAGAATGTTTCAATTAAATTGGTATGTTGTAATTTAAAACAGAAAAGTGATGTTAATTGTCAAGGTAACACTGTATGTTTTTTTTTTCCATTTGTCTTTTTCACAGGATACTTTATGAATGAAGTGGTTCCCATGGATCATCTGCCTGCAAGGTGTGTGTCATATGTCACCCCGAAAGGATTATAATTGGTTCTCTTTTTTGGCATGTTCATTTCTGCCTCTTTTGAATCATTCTTTTATTATGTCAGACCTACCAAGTGCTTTTATCGCGGGGTTATTTTTCTGCATTAATGAACCCTGATTGGATTTGCATAAAATGCTATTTTTTCTTGAATTCGTTTCCTTCAAGTCGTATTCAACGTATTGTAAATGAAGTGAAAATACACATTAAAAAAATAATTGTTTGCAATATTTGCATGACTTTTTGTAAATGAAACGAAAGTACACATGTTTATTTGCATTATTTGTGTGACCAATTGTAAGTCATGTGAACCTGAACAGCTGATGGACAATTTGCCCTTTGGTGTCAGTTCTCCTTACAGACAGTTGTTTACCCCCGGGGCGGTGCCACTGACTTAAGTGTCTTTAGGCCATTTCCAAAGGGGGGACATTTCTCGTTCTAATGCACAGTAGAATTGTATTGGCTGATCCAACAATGTCATGCTCATAAGTGTGCCTGAACTACAACAAGGAACTGCTGCTTTTTCTTTCCTAATCCTTACTATCATCATTTTCCTCTAGATCTACTTCTTTTGTATGTTTGTCACACTCTTGTGAACTGCTATTTTTGGGGTGCCTTGATAGTCGAAGCAGACAACATAGCTGTTTAAGCTAGAGAGGTGAGCAGAGTAAGTCTGATTCCCTTTAAGGACTTCTCTGTTGACATCCACCCGTTGGCGCTCATATGACCTTATGCAGTTGCGACGTAAAACCTCTACTAAAACAAAAGACAGTTGTTTCTCTTGTGTCTTTTCCTCAGGATTACCGCCGCCAGTCGATGTTACCGTGCGGAGGCTACGGAGAAGGCAGTAGAGAAAGGCCTGTATAGAGTGCACCACTTCACTAAGGTAATGTCTTAGTTTTAGTAAGTTTTACGGCACTTGCAACACAGTTAGGTCATTTAAGTGTTGAAGTCTAGAGGTGTTACTGGATAGTAACGTACAAAGAAAAAAAGGAGGAGAGATGAGGACAATAGGTATTTGATAGGAAAGACAGAGAAAAACACCCCAGAGCACCTGCCAACCACCCACACAAAGGAATGTTCACAAAACTCTTGAAATGGAAAATGTTTTCTGTGCTGCCCCTTTCTTGTTCATCAGTAGACCTATGGTGAACATAGCTTTTTTCTTCTTCAGGTGTCAGGTCTGGAGCACACATTGTCACATTGACGATCATGGTACCCACTCCTTCTTGTTATCTGTCTTCCTGATCTCATTGTGTTATTTATTGCGAAGTTGTTCACGCCATCTGTGTATGTTCTCTGTCTTCCTGATCTCATTGTGTTATTTATTGCGAAGTTGTTCACGCCATCTGTGTATGTTGTTCTCTCTTCCTCAGTTCTTCTTTTTCCCTCTATCTTTCTGCATAACTTATTGTGCGTTAAAAATAGATGTAATTTCTTATCAGATCGTTCCCTCTCAAAGTCTAGTTCCTAATGATAGTATCGTACAAGGAGACTCTGTTGTATGTCTGAGATGTTTCCAGTGAGTTACTGAGATGTTCGCATATATTATGTGTATGTGTGTGTGTGTGTGTCTGTGTGTTTATGAATGTGTGTATCTGTGTCTGTTTGTGTCTTTATGAGTATGTACCTATGTGTTAATGAGATGTTTCCAGTGAGTTAACAAGATGGGCCATATGAGTGTGTGTATGTGTATGTCTTTCTGTGCATGTCTGTATGTGTGTCTCTGTGCATGCACATGTGTGTATGTTTGAGGTGTTTCCAGTGATAAATCAAGAAGTCCCCCTGGCATGTTTGTTCAGGTGGAGATGTTTGGCCTGTCAGCGGATGAGGATGGCACAGAGAGTAATGAGCTTCTCCACGACTTCCTGGACATTGAACGAGAGCTCTTCTCTCTACTGGGGCTGCACTTCAGGTACAACATTTCATTCATATGTGGACGCCCAAAGATTTTGTCAGTTTGTGAAAGTTTGAACGCTTGCCATCTGCAGCTTGCACTGTATGCTTCCCAGGTAGCTGAGAATGTTTCTGCATGTTCTAGGGTCTGCTGGAGTAACAGAGTTGTAAAACGCATAGAGCTTGCTGTAGAGCGTTGTTATGTGCTATTTGAATGCAGTTATTATTATTATTATTTTTATTATATTATAATTAAAAACTAAGCATTAAAATATTATTTTTACTAATATTGTTATTGTTATTATTGTTATTGTTATTATTGTATTTATTGTTATTGCTATTGTTATTATTGTATTTGCCATTTTTTGCCCAGTCTTTATGATCAGCCTTTGTCCCCTCAAAGAAGTATGATCGTCGGCAAGCTGTTTAAATGTACTAAGGCCAGGGAGCAAAATTTTGCAGGAGAGAGAAAAACTATTTCATTATCTTAACAATTGTACCAACATTATTTATCTTTTCTTGCCTTTTTCAGCTTTAAGAATTTGAATTTTGACAAAATATTTCCAGAGCATATGTAATCGATACCACAGGTGAAGAAACAGCAATTTAAAAAAATTTCGAAAGGACCTACCTCTGTTGTTTCGAACTATCCGTCTTGCTTCTTCCTCGCGCTATATGACTGTTATTGTGTCGATGTGCTTCTTTTTACTCAAACTCAAAATCAAATTGTGTTGTGTTTAGGAATTGGGGAACTAGCCTCTCCTGATTGGTGTCGTGAAGTGCATGAAAAATCTGACTCTTTTTTTGTTTGTGTGTTCTCCACCAGGATTCTGGACATGCCGTCACAAGAGCTCGGTGCTCCTGCCCACAGAAAGTATGACGTTGAGTCATGGATGTATGGCAAGCAGATCTGGGGAGAGGTGAGAACAGTCTGGTGGTACTCTCAAGGGCTTCTGAGTATTTTACTGGTTCCGTACAAATAAATGTATAGCATCGTGGTGAAATCAGGGGCTCATCAAAATGATGACATCGAAGAAACCAAACCAGCATTTTTCCGCTCGATGGACAATTTTTATTGAATTTCTTTTATTTATTTATTTTTTATTTAACTCTTTTATGCCTATTTAAAAACATATTTCACCGTGGAGTTTGCTAAAAAATGTTGATCAAATGCTCAAAAAATGTTATGCATTTTCTAAGGACTTTCAAGCCTTGGAAGTCACCAAACTCTGGCGGCCATTTTCTGGCTTCACTTAGCTCTGACACCAGGTGTCTCCCATATCTCGACTTCAATTCAAGATGGACAGGTATATTTTATACATCGCAAGCAAGGCAAATGAATAGGTTTTAAGATTATACAATAACACCATGTGCCCAAAACATTGATGAGCACCTGATTCCACGGTGTTGTGACATAAATGAGTGAAGTCTACATGTAAATAGGCCTACTTCGTTTCCATCTCCATCCCGACTGAAATGTTGTATCTACATATTGTATTTTCCAACTTGAAACTTTCCTACATGTCATCAGCCAGCTGTTCAGATGCATACCTTCCTAGATTTACGCCTTTTGCGTAATTATTACACCAAAATGGCCCCGATTACGGAAGTACGCAAATGTGGAGAAAATGATGCATTTTTCCCACCCACCACCTAAGCAGTTGGATGTCTGTAAAATGTTATTTTATTAGACACTAAATGATGGAAGCAGGACACCGGCTCAGGCTTGGACGAGGCTTGTCGTCGGGCTGATTTGGAATGATCTCCCGTTCACTGCGCAGTGCTGCAGGCATGTGCGATAGGTTTGTTTTTAACTAGCAACATCGGGATCAGGCCTCTTGTTAAGGTGTGTGCAAAATTTGTCCTAGTCAGAGAGCATCCAGAAATCTGCCTGTGCGTGTGTGATTACACTTTTTTGTCTCAAATTACTCAAAATCATCTTTTCTTTTACATATACAGTGGAAACCTGATATAACAGGGATGGTGGGAGTAGAGAAAATGTCCTGTTATATCCGATCCCTGTTAAATCAGAAATGCAAGGAAAGTAAGCATTTGTGGACTAATCCAGCCGTACTTTTTCATGGGTAGTTTCCCTTGCCACAAGTACCCACGAACAGAGGGTTTGGCACAAACTTTCTCCTTGCCTCCTTAAACCACATCAGAAGAGCTTGGTCCACAGCATCTGCATAGGGCAGTCTCATCTTCTTTCGATCCAGAGCAAACTTTCCATTGGAGTTTGCTGCCACTATCTTCTCACTATCCTTGATAATGGTGTGAATCGGCCCTTGTGGAATGTCGAACTGACGACAAATCTCTGCCAGGGGAGCTTGCTTTTTGTCAGCAGCCTGGATTATTTCGTATATTTTGTCAATTGAAAGGCATTTTCTTTTGCGCTTGACATCGTTGGTGACACATTACACGTGCGTGTTGCTAGGTTTCAGGCTAGATCGAGGTCTGCAGCACACCGCAGCCCTCTCTCGCTTCACATGCCGCGTGTGCTTGCAGTGGCTTGCGTGGGCTTGCTCCATCACTGCGTTACTCTCTCTCTTACTTTTTACACATTGTTAACGAGCCTTTGTCCCTGCTATAACCGGTTGGGCTTCGATGAGGTCCTGTTATTGCCGATAACTTTTAATAGAGATAAAGAGAAGGAAAAAACGGGGATTTTAAAAATCCCTGTTATTACCGGATCCCTGTTATTACCGGGCCTGTTATATATGGTTTCCACTGTATCTGGATCTTGAACTAGGGAGGTATGCAGATGTATTCAGCTCAAAATTTTGAATTTTAAAAAAATGCAGTTTTTTAATTCTTTTGGTCGTGGGTGGTTGAAGGTTGCTCTGGTGTGGTTTGCTCCTTCTTCCTTATCAAACATTTGTCATCCTTATCTTTCATCCTTCTTTTCTTTGTATGTTACTGTCTAGTAGTAACACCTAATCTTCGGTACAGTGGAGTCCACTTATAATGAGTCCTGAAACAACGAGAAGTCTGTTATAAAGACTCTATTCTAAAACCCCGTGTTTTCTCCTTCTTTATCTTTGTAAATAAAATACTGCTATTGCGCCATCAGACCGTCACGCGAGTCGGTTTTAACGGAATATTGTTGCTGCTGTGCACAGCGCACAGACCAATTACATAATATTATAAAAACCTTGCCAGTTGAGAAAGTTGTTGATGATCCAGCGAAATTAAGAATGGGAGAGCCCACGCGAATCAACAATGAAGGCCGGAGCGAATGAGTGGGGAGTGTGTGGCATGCGCAGACAAGCAGAATGCATCGCGTGATAGGCCAGCCCAGTCTAGATTATCTAGGCATACTGTGCCTCTCACTTCTCTGGTGCAGGATGGAGATGTCACAATGCTGTGATAGATGGAGTGAATGTGTGACGTGCGCAAGCAGACGCAACGCACCACAGTGTGTGGTGGGGTGGGGGACAACACAGCGGGCGAGTTAGTCTAGAGCCAGACCCCCTTCTTTCTGATCGCCAACGCCGAGCTGTCAACATTGCTGGTGCTGGAGAAAGAAACCTAATTCGATTTTTGATCAAGTAAGACCTAGAGATCATGTTGAACAAATCATCATCAGGGGAAATACAAAAAGGAATAAACAGAGCGCCAAACTCATAGATTAGGCCTACTTTAATACCATTTCCCTTGAATATATTATTGGATCCCTTGTAACGAGAATCCTGCTATAACAGACATTTCGCACCGGTCCCATCCCTCTCGTTATAACAGGATTCCACTGTACATATAATATGACATATATTTGTGTCGCAAGTGCCGTTACACTCTTATGAAAAATTAAAGACTTTGTTTTGGTCTAATTTCTCACAGATCTCCAGTTGCTCCAACTGCACAGACTACCAATCTCGGCGACTCAAAATCAAATATGCTAGACCAGACGGCTCATTGCGACATGTCCACACGGTGACTTCTCTCTCTCTCTCTCCCTCTCTCTCTCTCTCTTTTTCTCTCTCTTTCTTGCTCTCTCTCTCTCCCTCCCTCCCTCACTCCCCCCCCCCC